CCACAATTAACAGGACGATCGATTAATTTTCCAAAATATGTGTGTTTGCCTCTTCCACTCCAATTCCATCACTTAAAACTTCATTTTGTGCTTGTGGCGATCAACCAAATAGACCATCGTGAAAACCAAAAGACCTGTGTGAGGCACTCGGTGGAGTGATTTCACACCACTTGCGAGTCCCATTCACCACAATGACTGACTCGTCTTTGTACAGTGCTGTGACCTGGGCTACCATGCCAGCCTCCACCGTGCCCTGAGGACCTACTTGTCAGCGGAACAGAATGTAGAGGTATCCAAGCACACTGGTCTGGAGACACTGGAGGGTGCCGCTGAAAGTCTGGAGCCCAACGGAGACAAACAGAAGCTGATGGAGACCTACAACAATGTCTTCTGTCCGCCAGCTCGCTTTGACTTCCAGTCGCACATGGGAGACACGGTATCCGTTTCTGTAGTACGCAGTGCGGTCCCACTGCACTTCAAACTACAAACTTGTGTTTGTGTGCGTATAGATGGGCGTCATGTGTGCACAACAGCCACTGGAAAGTGAGCTTCTCCAGAGGTGTCAGCAGCTTCAGTCGCGTCTCTCCACACTCAAGATAGAAAATGAAGAGGTTAGTATGAGTTTCCCCTTGATCATTACAACAGGCCTTCACATGCCTCTTCGTGCTCATTCTTCCCCTCGCTCTGCTGTTCATTAGGTGAAGAAGACCATGGAAGCCACTCTGTCCACCATCCAGGACATGGTGACAGTGGAGGACTATGACGTGTCCGATTGCTTCCATCACAGCAACAGCATGGAGTCCGTCAAGTCGACGTTCAGTGAATCCTATCTCAGCAAGCCCAGCCTTGCCAAGAGGCGGGCCAACCAACAGGAGACAGAACAGTTCTACTTTACGGTCAGTGTCAGGTTTGAATCGAGGCTTATCGGCTTGGGGGTGGATTCATAGAGCGCTGTGATTTACTGCACTTCTGCGCGCACCTGAACTATGCACTCCTCGTACTGTGTGTTGTGTAGAAGCTGAAGGAGTTTCTTGAAGGCAGGAACCTGATCACTAAGCTCGACGCCAAGCATGACCTCATCCAGAAAACCATAGGAGAGAGTGAGTGTCCTTCATACTTTTTTAGACGTGTCCTCTATATGTGGAGGTCACAGTGACTGCGACCATATGTGGACAACAGATGTGCCGGAGTGAGCGCTGAGGAGATGGGGGG